AAAGCCTCAGATTCTCTCCATGACCCCTTCAATCCTGGGGTCTTTGCTGCAACTGAAGCCGTACTTTCACCTATGGCCTTTCCTGGCCTCTCAGAGTGCCAAGCCTCAGCTGCTCTCTGTGACCCCTTCACGCTTTCAACACCAGAACCATGCAGGAGACTCTTACACATTACCAAGTCCTGCTTCCGGCTTGAAATAGAGGTGCGGGTCCCCTGTGTGCTGCCCCTGAGGAAATACCTCCCAGAAGACTCCATCACAGTGATGCTGGTCTCTTGTTACTTACAGTTGATTTTTCAGCCCCAGCTAACCAGCATCAATTGTCCCAGTAAAGGAAAGGTTTTGCTTCCGGTTCTGGTCTCTTCTTAATCACAGCTGATTCTTCAGCCCCAGCCGACCAGAACTCACAGATTCTCAATGCAAAATTTCACACGAACAGCCCTGATAGTCCCTGCTTCCCTTTGAAGATTCATAAGCCAGGCCTCCATTGTCTATAACTCTTTCAGCATAACTGTTCCAAGCTCCACAGCAACAAACTCTGAGTACACAATGGCTTTTCCAGCCCAAAGTTTCAAACACTTCCACAGTCCTCCCAAAAACACAAAGGTCAGGTCTGTCACAGCAATACCTCACTTCTGGTTCCAATCTCTGTCCTAGTTTGTTCTTCATTGCTGTGACAATACTCTGACCACTACCAACTTGGGGAGGAAAGGTTTTATTTATCTTACATATCCGGGTCACAGTTCATCCAGGAACCCAAGGTAGAACTCAGGGCAAGAGCTGGAGCACAGGCCACGGAGGAACGTTGCTTACTGGCTTGCTCCCTTGGCACCTGCTCAGCCTGCTTTCTTATGCAACACCGGCCCACCTGCCCAGGGGTGGCACCACCCACAGTGGGCTGGGTCCTCCCACATCACTCATCAAGAAGATACCCTTCAGACATGGCCACAGGCCAGTCCAATAGAGGCAATTCCCCGATTGAGGCTCCCTCAACCCAGGTGTGTCAAGTTGACACTAAAGCTATCCAGCACAGAGAGTAAATGAAAACAGAAATTATAAGTGAAACAAAAACTTTGGAAAACTGGATAGTCACATTTAAAAGAATGAGATGTGATTCCTATTTCTCTCTCTGCACAAAAATCAGTTCAAAACGGATCAAAGACCATAAGGTAAGGCCAGAAACCTTGAAACTTCTAGGAGGAAACACTGTGAAATGTAAGCAAGGACTTTCTGCAAAGGACTCAAAGTTTCCAGGAAGTAAAAGTAAGAATTGGCATATATGACTACAGAAATGTATAAAAATGCTTCTACATAGAAAAAGAAAGAGCAGAGTATTGAGATAGCATACAGAATGGGAGAAAACAATTTCCCAGGATGTCAGAAATATATTTTCTGACATTAGACTACCATCTAAAAACTCACAATGCAGTCGCTACAGAACCACCGTGAGATTCTGTTGGGCCTGCCCACCTTTCTGAGTACCTTTTCCCTTTTCTTCTTTTTTGTCTTTTTCCTTTGGATGCCAGATAGAGCCTACGCATACTTGCTCTGGTACTTTGGGCTTCCTCAGCTTTTCTCTAACGCTTTCTTCCCCAGCATGTGGCGGCTTGTGCACCATGTGGCAGATCTCCTCCCTGGCTTGACTCATAAGATTTGCCTTCATTTTTTAAAATCTTTTTTCCTTTATCTCTGTCCTCCCAGCAATGGGTGAGATTTATAGCTTTGCCTGCCCTGGGGTTTTTCTTTTAAACTCTAAGAAAATTCTCATTCATCAAAAAAAAAAAAATAAACTAATTTAAAAAACTTAACAAAAGAAGAAATAATACAATGAAGAAATGGTCAAATTATCCAAAAGACACTGCTCCAAAAAAAGCAAAAATGGAAAATTTATAGGAAAAATTCAGTACCTTTAGCAATCTGGGAAATGCAAAGCCAAATTCTCGGGATTCCCATCTCACCCCAGTCAAAATAGTAAGGGAGTGACTCTAGACAGGCTGACTAGACTCCAGTGAATGAATTTGCACCAAAGGACATCTGGGTACAAAAGCTTGACTGGATAGGACTTAACATATATGACAGAATGCATGAAATCCAGTGCGGGGGGGGCGCTATGGGGTGCAGATGGAGGAAGGGTTCTAAATTTAATTAAGATCTATTATACGAAATGCACAAAATCTCAGTAAAAATATTTTTTAAAAAGAAAAGAAAATAACTAAAAAACGCTGGCAGTAATGGGGAAAGAAACTGTTATACATTGCTCATGGGAATGTACCTCAGTCTAGCCACTTTGGAGTATGGAGGTCCCTCAAAACACTAAAAATAGAACTACGACTAGACCCAGCTATACAACTCATGGGTATATAGCTGAAGAAAGGAAGTCAGCATAAAACAGAGATACCTGCATACCCCTGTTTATTGAGGCTCTACTCATAACAGCCAAGCAATGGAATCAGTCTAGCTCTGTGTGTGTGTGTATGTATACATATATGTATATATATATATGTATATGTAAAATGGAACATTATTCAACCACAAAGAAGAAAGAAATGTTGTTTTCAGATGGAAATAGAGGTCATCATGTTAAATCAAATAAGCCAAACACAGAAAGACAAGTACCACATGGGTTTTTTTCTCATATATTATAATCCTCAAATCTAGAATTTAAAAAAATTAAATGGCTCATGCCTGTCATCCTAGCACTTGGGAGGCTGAGACAGGAGGATTGCCAAGAATTTGAGGCCAGTCTGGACTATGTACTATGTAACCTTCATGAAAATAAAACAACAAACAAAGAACCGTCAACCTTAATATAGGCCTGTAGAATGGGAAGTAGAAGATAGGAGACTGGGCATGACCCAAGCATGATAAATGCATATATGGAATCGTCACAATAAAACCCATTAATGTGTTCAATCAGCGTACATTTATCACCATAAAATTACATTAACTGACATAGGTAAGGTAGCCCATTAGATCTAAATGGAATTTTACTTAAGGAAAGTCATCTTTTATCCTGCCCTTACTTTTCTCCCCTCTAATTTAATACCATATCGCAAAGTTTCCAGGCATCACTTTGACTAATCTTTTGTAATGCAACATGTCTACAATGTTGAACTTACTATCTGAATTTCCCTCCCATGAGGGGAGGGGCCCTCTCTTCCTTGATTGCTACTACATCCATCAGTGTACATATATCCTTGCATGTGGTGCTTAATAAATTACTTGTTGCACTAATGGATGAGTAACCCGTGTAACAATTAATTTTTTTCCTTGTAGAAAAAAACATAATCAAGAACTGAATTAGAGAGTTTGGATTCCTAGAGGAAGTAATCCTAAGAAAGGTTGTCGTTGCAGAACAGCTTAGCTGGGAAAAAGTCAGTGCTTTACCTGTGTTGGGTGAGCACATTTACAGCTGAAGGATGATTTGCACAGTAAGCCAGGTACATAGATTTAAAATGAGGCATGAGGTTGAGTAGACAGCCTCCAACTTTGTGTTGGTTTTCTGGAAACCTGTAAGTAAAACATGTGAAACACAAAATGTAAAATTGGAAACAGAAACTAAAGAAGATATTTGCAACTAAGCCTGGAAGCAGTAAACCTTTTGAATATGGTGCTATGAGTTATTTTAAAGCAGATTAGAAGAATTTTATGCATGAAATGTACTTTTCGGACCACTGATTTGACTAACATACAGGATCAGATACTTACTTGGAATTGACAGGTTGGGGTGTTTGTTTCTAGGATGATTATATTCAAATTTTACTCAACATACTAAGAAGACTGAAATTTATATCAAGCTTAAGCACAGGCAAAACTAAGTGAATTCAGCAGTATCACACCACAGAAAATGATAGCCTTGTTGGCCTGATGGTTGTTAAACGGGGAAGTCTCATGATTTTTAAGTTATTTTAGCTAATTAATTTAGTTATTTTAATTATTTTCATTGGTAGAAAATCAGAAAATCATCAAAAATGAAAATATCACTCTGAGTCACATCATCCAGTATGTAAACAATACTGGCATGTCCCATGGGCTGTTTTCTATGTGTTCCTCAAAAAAAATGGAGAACATAAAGATTGTAAGTGTAGCTTGTACTCTGCCCATCTTGCTTGGCCAGCATCTTTCCCTATCAGGTATCTGCATTGCTACTGGCAGCTCAATGTGTCTCTAGAGTGTAGAGTCTCTCCATGTTCCATTCTGGACAAATATATTCATCCCATAAAGTTCAAAAACCAGGCAGTCATCTCCAATTTCCCATACATTCATGATAGAAATCATCAGATATTTTTACGATATATCATTTGGAAGATTAATTTTTCAACAGAAATATATTGCCAGATGATCATGCTAATGAACTTTATTATAAAAATGTTGACCATTAGCAATCAATTAGCCATCAAGAACATGTAGTTCACATAAAACATACTTTTTTCCTTCCTTTGCATATATTTCAAGTCAGAATAAAACAAACACAATACTATCAGTGATTTAAAGAGAAAGCTAGACGTGGTGACACACACCTGTGATGCCAGAAATGTGGAGGCAAAGACAAAAAGATCAAAAATTCAAGACCAACCTTGGCTCCATAGGGAGCTTGAGGCCAACCTTAGCTAGAGGGAGAGAAAGCATTCCAAGTGAGGGTGGAGACATAGCTCAGTGGTAAAGAGCCTTCTTAGAATATGCAAAGGAAGCCCAGCCCAGGGGGAGAGGAGAGAGACACAGAGAGAGACAGAGAAAGAAGAGAGAGAGAGACAGAGAAAGAGAGAGTGATTGTTAAAAGAGTGATCTAAATGTCTTTTCCAAGTAATCTATAGCACATAAAATCTCTAACCAATGTCAAAGCTGTCATAATGATGAATTAAGACCTCATCTCTTAAGGTCACCAGAAGCACAAAATTGATACGATTTTAAATTAAAGTCAGAAACATTTTATTAGATGGACAGACTTGACACATACATAATGTTTTAGCACTGAATACCACCAACAGTTTTTGTTTCTTTGATATGCTTTTGTTTTTATTTTCTTAAGACAAGGTCCCCTTGTAGGCCCAGCTGGCCTGGAACTCACCATGTAGAAGAAGGTGGGGTTGATCTCACAAAGATCCTCCTGCCTCCGCCTCAGAGTACTGGGACTAAAGGCGTGTGCCACCATGCCTGCTTTTGGATTTGTAGTTTTGTTTTGTCTTTTTATTTTTACTTTATCCTGGGACAATGTACCAAAACTATACCAAAAATATAAAGACAAAGTGCCCCTGTGCCTGACCCAAGCCTATAATCCTAGTACTTGGGAGGTAAAGGCAGGAGCATCAGGAGTTCAAGGTCAGCTTCAGCTACATAGTGAGTTGCAAGTTAGCCTGGGCTGTTTAATACCTTGTCTCAAAAAACCCAAACAAATAAACAAAACCACAAGTAATTATTAATTTAAACTGATCCATCTTTTAAAGTGTGAAAGGAAACAACAAAGTCAGTGCCACACTTACTTTGAACATTCTTCCAAAGCTTGGCAGAGTGTCTGTTGAAATGTACATACCTCTTCAAAGTTCCCCAGTAAACATGTAAACTCCACAGAACTTAGACTGAAAAACAGTACATGATGTTCCAGTCAACAGAAGGGAAGGATGAATTTAGATATATAGCTAACCGCTTGCTAATGTTGCTGGCAAACATTAGGGAAGGTAAAATGCCTGTTTTAATTTTTGCTTTTTGAATTTACAACAGCTCTACGATCTTGGGCAATGCTGTTTAATTTTTCCTTGATTTACTAAAATAAGAATAATAATGATCCTAAAGAAAGTCAGTGGTCATAAGGGACATTTACGTATTTTATTAAGCCATGAGGACAACTAACAACACATGCATAATATCAAAGTATAGAAACAGATAAAAGCCCTCACAAGTGGTAATAAGTTTAAAATCTTTGCTGTGTCTTACTCTTGGGGAAATGGAAAAGTAATTAAAATATATATGATCAATAAATGTAGGAGGAAAACAGCAGCAAAATCAGCTTTCTCTGAAACAAAAATGATCAAATAACAACTAAAAGAAATGTTCATGAAAGGAAGTAGAGTGAAGAAAATAGAATGGATGGTTTTTGTTATTGTTATTTGTAGGATGGAATGGACTCAAATAAACTGAACAACTTTATGAAAAATGTTCCAGTTCATCCTTCCCCTACCAAACAGTAAGTGATCATAAGAACAGGAGTCAACCCTCATAAGGCATGAAACGTTCATACAAATAAGTGTTATTTATAAAAATAAAAAGTTCATTTGAGTTTACTGTACCTGTGGGAAGTATGTGTTATGGCTATGTCCATTTTACAGGTGAGAAAACGCAGACATAGAGCAGTTAAGCAAACTACCCAGAGTAAAAATTCAAATAACGGCAAAGAAAGGAATTGTATGAAAACATTTTTACCAAAAACCGCAATCTTAACCACTTTGGGGGAAAACTTTTCTGAAGATTAACTTGAAAGATCAATGTGCCACGTATTCCTTCTTCTTAAGAATATATAATCCCTCAAAGGACCTTAAGAATAAAAATAAATTGGTTTATTTGGGCCAATGGTATGGTCTTAAACACCCAAAAGGAAAGTATAACCAAAGATTAAAGTGATCAGTATATTTCTTTAAGAGTTCAAGGGATTACACTTCTCAGACAGTAGGCTTAAGTCCATATAAAATGTTATTTAGACAATTATTTATCATTGATGATTTTTTTTTCTAATCAGAAAGTGCTGCCAGATATAAGACTTCAAAGTTTGGTCTGCAATACTGTAGGGCCCACCTATAGCTGAGGGAGACAACCCACTATTGTTCTAAAATGATGGTTAAATTTGTTTTCTCCCCCTATCTAGAAGCCTTTGAGAGGGAACTGACACTGATTCTAGCCACTCCAACAGCTATCAAAGTGCCTGAAAACAAGTCTTGAGTCCATCACTAAGTCCAGCCTTGGCAGACAAAAGAAAAATGAGGAGGAACCCAATTGAGGCATGCTTTTGGAAGCTCTTGTCAAGAAATCCCAGTGGACTCTGGCATGAACATATGAAATTTGCCCTGTTTTGACTTTTTTCTGGTTCCCTGTCTAGAACTTGTAATGCTAATTACTCTTGCCTTTACTTCTCCTTCACATCTCCTATTCACCAGTCAAGGGCTTTCTTTTCCCACTACAGATAAGAGTTATGCAATTCTGGAGTCTTTTAGATAGACCCACTGAAGGGGTGCCCCAATTGCCTCATCCTGCATCCCTGTTCAGCATGGAAGAAGCCAGATCGGTCTGCGTCCCGATTCCCTATTGGCAATTTGGGCAACCTCTTCAGAGGATGGTGTGATAAGAATAGGAGGTAGGAATTAGCTAGGCAGTTAGGGAAAAAAGACTCGAAAGAAAAGTAGCCAGTTTCTTGGCTAAAAATCAAAATGTCCTTGGGCCTCTTAGCAATACACTCTGTTTCAAAGATCAAAAACGTCAAAAGTATTTGGGGGCTCTTATCTAATCCCTAAAAGATTTTAGGGTTACCTCTTCACAGGGTATGGTAATGTTATAGTAGCAACCCCCCGCCGAAAAAAAACCAGAAAGAGTATACGAAGTTGTCAGGAAAAAAGTGATGGGGAGACATGGGAGGAATTGGAGGGGAGGGAGTGGGTGTGGATTTGATCAAAATGTCTTATATGCATGTATGAAATTGTCAATAAATTTTTTTAAGTTAAAAAAAAAGAACATATGAGCTGGGCGTGGTGGCGCACACCTTTAATCCCAGTACTTGGGAGGCAGAGGCAGGCGGATCTTTGTGAGTTCGAGGCCAGCCTGGTCTACATAGTGAGTTCCAGGACAACTGGGGCTACAGAGAGACCCTGTCTCAAAAAGCCAAAAAAAAAAAGAACATATAATTCTGGGGCTGAAGAGATGACTCAGTGGTTAAGAACACTGGCTGCTTTCGCAGAAAACCCAGGTTCGATTCCCAGCACCCACATAGCAGCTAACAACCATCTGAACTCCAGTTCCAGGGGATCCAACACCCTCTTCTAACCTCTGTGGGAATGGCACAAAAATGGGTGCACTTACATATATTCGGGAAATACATTCATACACATAAGATAAAAATAATAAATAAAATATATTAAAAATAATATATAATCCTGGAGACTAGAGAGATGGCCCAGTGATGAGAACACTTGTTGCTCTTGCAGAGGACCTGAGTTCAGTACCTAGCACACACACTGGGTGGCTCACAACTGCTCATAACTACATCTTTGGGGACTGACTTCTTCTGGCCCATGGAGCACCTGTATTCACATACACATACACACACAGGCATACACATGTTTAAAAACAAAGAAAATAAATTTAAAAACGAATATACAATCCTAAATCAGGTGTAGTAAGACACACCTGTAATCTCAACACTTGGGAGGTGAATTCAAGGGGGTCAGGAGTTCAAGTTTGAAGCCAGCCTAGGCCACATCAGACATTGTCTCAAAACCAATTAACAAAAAATACGTACATACATACATCTCATACATAATTCCTAGAATAATATTTGCAAGAGAATAAGTTTTGCTGACTAATAAAAAAGGTAAAACCCACTGGGTGTGGTGGTGCCTTTAATCCTGGCACTCAGGAGGCAGAGACAATGGGATCACTTTGAGGTCAAGGCCAGCCTGGTCTACATAGTGAATTCCAGGCCAGCCAGGCCTGCATAGTGAGATCCTGTCTCAAGAAAGCACAACAAAACAAAAGATGAGATTCACTAAGCACTCCCAGTAATCCTTAGATTATAAAAAGTTTCCAGTTCCTCTGCTGTTATGCTGACCTGCAAACTGAAAACTTTACCTAAGGGTGTCAAAAGCAATCCAAGCTAGTCGTGGTGGTGTATGCCTTTAATCCCAGAACTGGAGAGGCAGAGGCAGGCAGATCTCTGCAAGATGGAAGCCAGCCTGGTCTATATAGTGAGTTCCAGGCCAGTTGAGGCTATAGACCCTGTCTCAAAACAAACAAACAAACAAACAAACAAACAAAGCAACAAGAAAAGGAACAAACAGAAAACAAATCCAGCAGTCAGACAACTTCCCTAGCTGTTATGTTCTAGCCACAACAAGATGGGTCCTGGTATTACTACACCCTGGTCCCTTCATCATCAGACAGTAAACAGTTGAACTTGCTCAAATCATTGTGGGGTGGCAAAATAGTTACACTGAATGGAAACACTCTAAATACATATACATTCAAAGGGTCAAACTGAGGAAGTATGCAGGTCTGTTTCAAGTCACACACCTTCTCTACCTGGCTCTCCTTTTCCTCCCCCTGCTTCATGATTGCAAATCAGTCTCTCCCTCATTTGAAATCTGACCATCTCCTCTCCTGAACTACCACTTCAGTTACCCTCTATTCTGCTTGTTACAACCAGAAAATAGAAGGTACATTTCATATAGTAGCAAGAGGTACGGTAGATACAGTCTGAGCACTTGCTGGCTATGTGCCAGGCAAGGCAGTAAGCCTGCCTGCACTTCAGTTTCTTATCCGTCAATGGAGACAGTATTTCTCCCAGGGCACTAGAGCCAGCGATGTGCTGCATTCCTATCTGGCACTGAGAACTGTGATTCACATTTCACATAATAAAACTCAACATTTTCTTGTTAATCATGCTCAAATTCTTATCAAAGGAATATAAAATCCTTCCATATGAAGAAAGATTCCCATGGTACCATGAGAATAAAGTCAAAATTTGGTAAGATATTTTACATAAACAAACATAATTTGGAAGAAAAAAAGGAGATAGCTTACTATACTAAACTCATTTAAGCCTGAAGTTGATAGTTTAGACAAATGTCCACAGAAATCAGTTTTTTTACTGAGGTAAAAGGGGAAGATTTTGTTCTCCATTGTGTGAGCTGAATGCTAAAGTTTCTATTTCAGTTACAGATCTTAATCACTAGTGAAATCAAATCAATTAAAGCAGCAAATAAATGCAGTGACTATTTGTTAAATATGTTACACCTATAGCATTAAAAGTGATCTGTATTTTTCCTTCATGAAAACTAAGTTTTCAGTTCAGGCTTTAGGTAATCATTTCATATTTTTGAAAACCAAAATAAGTTTTTACAGTTTGCTTTCTAAAACACTTCAGCATCTCATTACCATTCTCATTTGCCTGGTGAAATTCTGACTTGAATTGCTCTTATAAACATTCACAAAATATCACATACTTTCACTCTGGGAGCCTGGGAAAGAGGTCTGGCCTGGCAAGTGAGGGTCAGAGTGAGCATGAGAATTTCAAGTTTATATGCTTTCTGAATAAAAGCACCAAGGAGCCTTTTTCTGCGTGATAAAACCAGACCCACTGTTTTAAAATGCACAAGAAATGTGGAAGGTAAAATAGAGAATTCATACACTTGCACATCAATGTCTATGCATTGAAGCGCTACTAAACAAACAGTCTTTGTTCAATATTTCAGTGCTACTCACAGCTAAGCGATGGAACAAGCCTAGGTACCCCAAACCAGAGGAATGCATAGCACAGATGCAGCATATGTGCACAATGGAATTATATTTTTTTACCCATAAATGAGAATGAAGTTTTGTAATTTGCATGAAAATGAATTTAACTGGAGACAATCACATTAACCACATTAAGCCAGTCTCAAAACGACAAATGCTGAGTCTCCTCTCATTTGTTTAACAGAGAGACATGAAATCATGAACGTGTATACGACATGAAAGTAGAATTGAGACTGCCTAAGGGAACAAGATAACAGGGGGGGGGGCAAGAAAAGGAAGGGGGACCTGTTCAGTATACAATATTTACTTGTATGAAAAACTTTAAGATAAAAAATATTTTTTAAGGTAGGGTCTCCCTGTAACCCCAACTGGCCTGGAACTTGCTCACTACGTAGATCAGGCTTGCCTGGATCTCAGAGGTTCACCTGTCTTTTCCTGCCAAGTGCTGGGATTAAAGGTGTGCACTACTACATTGAGGGTTTAAAAAACAACAAAAAACTTAATTAATAAGTAAACCTTCCTGGGCATGGTGGCGCACACCTTTAATCCCAACACTCACAAGGCAGAGGCAGGCAGATCTCTGAGTTTGAGGCCAGCCTGGTCTACATAGTGAGTTCCAGGTCAGCTGGGGCTACAGGGAGAACCTGTCTCAAAAGACCAAAAAAAAAAAAAAGTAAACCTTATTGAAACAGAGTAGAAGACTGGTTACCAAAACCTAGGGGGATATGGAGGATGGAGGGATGGATAGGCAAGCGTCAAGGTGTATAGGGCATACAGGGGTGCAGATGAATAGAAGAAACTTCTAAATGCTGTATAACATAGCAGGGTTTCTATGGATGCCTAATCTGATCATTACACATTGTAGAGGTGTATTGAAATATCATGCTCTATCCTGTAAACTGGTGTAATTGGTCTGTGCTATGGGTTTAAATTTAAAAAAATAAGTGGAAAAGAGGTTAAAAAATATCCAAGATAAAAATTATGACAGGCAGAATTTCAGATCAGCTCATTCCTTCCTCAGAAAGCAAGCCAAGTTCTCCAAAAGCAACATCTTGCATAATTTCTGTTGCCCTGACCATGTTCTTGGCAATGTGAGATCTGTGGAAATCAATTATTGAGTGACATGGGAGTAATGACTCCATGTGCTGACATTATCTTGCTTTATTTGACTCAGAGTTTAAAAAAATTCTTACTTGTTATTAGACTGCAAGGGTCTCAGGTAAGTAACAAGAAGAGACTGGAGCTCTTTAGCATATTCTTTTTCGGTGTCCAGGATGTTCTGTAATACCTATGGAGAAAAAAAAGGTAAGGTATCGTAATTGTCAAGAGAGTCCAAAGTCAAATACCACGGTAGATCATTTAGCCAAATTACTAGGGGAAAAGGCCCAATTTACTTAGCCTAGTCAGTACTGTACGTAAAGAACACAAAATCAGAATGTACTAGAAAAATATTTGCACTCTAGAAAAATAATAATTTTTATTTTAATAATTGCCTGATAGCTAGTTATATCACATAACTCAGAGGTACACACAATTATTTGAGTTATCGTAACTGAAGGAGTCTTGCCATTTACACAGTACTGTTCACAATTATTTTATGGGCTTTAAATAAGTATTCTGAGGAACAGGCTAGGTTAGCTAATGAGGATCATTGTTCCCATTTTTATGAATGAGAAAATTAAAATCAGCTACCTTAAAACACACAGCCTAGAGGTTAGGAGAATTTAAAGATAACTATAACACTAAACATCACAGAAGTTTTGTGTTCATATCATGTTTCTGATAAGACCTTTATGGAACAAAATGTTAGCATCTAGTACATTTAAAAATTATTTATTTTTGCTGGGCGTGGTGGCGCACGCCTTTAATCCCAGCACTCGGGAGGCAGAGGCAGGTGGATCTCTGTGAGTTCAAGGCCAGCGTGGTCTACATAGTGAGTTCCAGGACAGCTGGGGCTTCAGGAAGACCCTGTGTCAAGAAGAACAAAAAAAATTATTTTTATTTTATACGCATGCGGGTTTTGCCTGCATGTACACCACATGCGTGCAATGACCTAGGAGGCCAGAAGAGGGTGTCACATTCCTGGAACTAGAGTTACGGACAGTTGTTAGTTATGAGTGCTGGGAACTGAAGTCCATAAAGGTCTTATCGTAACTGAAGGAGTCTTGCCATTTACACAGTACTGTTCACAATTATTTTATGGGCTTTAAATAAGTATTCTGAGGAACAGGCTAGGTTAGCTAATGAGGATCATTGTTCCCATTTTTATGAATGAGAAAATTAAAATCAGCTACCTTAAAACACACAGCCTAGAGGTTAGGAGAATTTAAAGATAACTATAACACTAAACATCACAGAAGTTTTGTGTTCATATCATGTTTCTGATAAGACCTTTATGGAACAAAATGTTAGCATCTAGTACATTTAAAAATTATTTATTTTTGCTGGGCGTGGTGGCGCACGCCTTTAATCCCAGCACTCGGGAGGCAGAGGCAGGTGGATCTCTGTGAGTTCAAGGCCAGCGTGGTCTACATAGTGAGTTCCAGGACAGCTGGGGCTTCAGGAAGACCCTGTGTCAAGAAGAACAAAAAAAATTATTTTTATTTTATACGCATGCGGGTTTTGCCTGCATGTACACCACATGCGTGCAATGACCTAGGAGGCCAGAAGAGGGTGTCACATTCCTGGAACTAGAGTTACGGACAGTTGTTAGTTATGAGTGCTGGGAACTGAAGCTTGCTTACCTACAAGAGCATCCAGTGCACTTTCTTAACCACTGAGCTCTCTCCAGCGCCAACATATAGAACATTTTAAGCAAAATGTACCTGTTGCATAGGAATTTAACAAGGAGAACAAAACAATATTTATCTGTACTATTAATAACACAAAATTCTTTTTGGTTGTTGGTTTTTTGACACAGTTTCAGTCTCTAGTCCAGACTGGCCTGGAACTTACTATGTAGCCCAAGCTGCCCTAAACTCACCATAATCCACCTGCCTCAGCCTCTTGAATGTCGGGATTACATTACAGGTGCAAGCTACCATAAGTGACTAATAAAGAAAAATTAATAGATAAAACAACAGATATATGGTCCCCCAGTGTTTCTTTCCTGATTAGTCCTAGGGTTATGCCCCATCTCTCAGGCGGTTCTAAAAGCAGATACAGTCTTCGTTTCAAGCTCTTATACATGACAAAGTTAATATTTGGTTAAATATTTTTGTTACCTTCGAATTCAATCAACAAACATTTCTAAGCCCCTACTCTATGTCAATTGCTATGCTGCCTATAGTAAGCTTCCATCCTATCTGCAGATGGAGAAATTAAATAGGAATCTGCAAGACAGAGAAGCATTGCTAACTACGAGAAGCACATTAGTCTATCAAAATGGCAGAAATACACAGTTGGCTCTGTGTCTGTTGTGGGCTCCGCATTGGCTGGGCTCTACACCCACGAAGTTCCACATCTACAGAATTCAGCTAATCTCAGATTGAAAATATTTTAAAAACTGCATTTGAGCTGAATAAATACAGAGGGTTTTTTTTCTTTTTTTCCTTGTCATTATTCCTTAAAAAATACAGCATGGCACAGGCCTCTAATCCCAGTTACCCTTGAGGCTGAGGCAAAAGGACTGCAAATCCAAGGCCTGCCAGGACAACGCAATGAGGCCTAGTCTCAAGATGAAAAGTGAAAACCAGCTGAGGATGTAGATTAGTGGTAGAGTACTAACCCAGCATGTGTGAGGCCTTCGGTTCCATTCCCAGAATTAAAAAAATACAGTATGACAATTATTCATACATCATACACGTTCTATTACTTATGATAGACAACCTAGAGATTATCTTAAGCATATTGGAGGATGTGCAAAGGTTATGTGCAATTGCTACACCATTTTGAGTCTTGAACACCTGTGGACTTTGCTATCTGAGGAGGCCCTAGAGCTAATCCTTGTAAATATCAATTAGTGGCAGTAATCACAAGACAAAGCATAATGATCTGCTTTTGAAAAGTGGAGTGGTTGAAACAAGTAGAGGCCCAAGGAACTGCTGGCTTTCTGGAAACAACTGAACTAAAGGATGGTAGTCCCAGCTCTGCTATTGACCAACAGGCTGCTTCAGTTTTAAGGCATAACCTACCTCATCTCAGATTGTGACATTTCAACTACCTCCTGGACCATTGTGAAGCAGCAGTGAGATACTGTGCAGGTAGGTACTGGCTGAGGGGAAAACACTTTGACCAATTTAAGAGGTTAAAAATCATCATCCTCAATAGTAGCAGTACTGGCATTTCAGATTAGGTAAGTGTCTGTTGTGAGAATAATACCCTGTACCTTGAGGACAGGAAAGTGGCATTCCTGACCTCTACTCACTAGGTATCAGTTGTACTACACCCCAAACTCCATTTATAATGGTGAAAAATGTATCCAGACATTGCCAAATGCTACCTGAAGGGTAATGTCACTTTCATTGGTAATTGATGACTTAGAAGGCCACAAGGTGGCTTCCAAAGCTAACGGTTTGCTGGGCATGGAGGCATGTACCTCTAATCTCAGCATTCAGGCAGGTGAGGCAGAAAGATGACATGAGGCTAGCCTGCATATGTAGTGAGTTTAAGGCCTGCCTGGGCTACACTGCAAGGCTCAGTGCCAAAAATGGAGAAAAGTTAAGAGTTAAATTATGTTCCTCGTCAGACCCCTCTTGCCTGCTTTCAGTTCCCCTTTTACTCAAAAACTATTCTCTATAAATGTAAATTCAAAGTTTGAAAGTATTGATGTTCTCTGAAATTAGTCCAGTGATGGAATAGAAATGTTCCCACTTCACAATAGTCTAGTTACAATAAAGGACATTGGAAAGTACTATGAGATAAATACAGAAACATACAAAAACTGGGGCTGAAGCTCAGTTGGTAGAGGAATTGCGTGAAGTCATGAATTTGATTCCCAGTACCACATAAAGTGGGTGTGGTGGTACATGCTTGTAATCCTAACAACTCTTGGGAAGTAGAGGAAAGAGGATGAAGAGTTCAAGGCCATCCTCAACTATATAAGGAGTCTAAGACCTGGCTGGACTACATGAGATCCTGTTTAAAAAAAAAACACCAACACCACCCCCCACACACACAAAAAAGCACATATCCAGGCACGGTGACGCATGTGTTTAATCCAGGCACTCAGGAGGCAGAGGCAAGCAGATCTCTGTGTCAAGACCTGGCTGGACTACATGAGATCCTGTTTAAAAAAAAACACCAACACCACCCCCCCACACAAAAAAGCACATATCCAGGCACGGTGATGCATGTGTTTAATCCAGGCACTCAGGAGGCAGAGGCAAGCAGATCTCTGTGTGATCAAGGCCAGCCCGGTCTACATAGTGAGTTCCAGACCAGTTCAGGATATAGGAAGGGTCTCTGTCTCAAAAACTAAACAAAACAATAAAACACACAAAAAAATTAAAGTCGTGCTTCAAGAAAATAATTATGGGGAGCTGGAGAGATGGCTCAATAGTTAAGAGCACTGGTTGCTCTTGTAGAGGATCTGGGTTCAATTTCCAGAACTTACATGGTGGCTAACAACCGTCCATAACTCCAGTTCCAGGGGAATCTGATGCCCATTTCTGACCTCTGTGGGCATTACACCACATGGGTGCATTTACATACATGCAGGCAATACACTAACATGTAAAATAAAAATAATAAAATATTAAAAAATAATTATAGATGCCAAGTGCCCATATTTTAAAGAAAAAGGAAAAAAGGGACATGAATTTGGGAGGGAGACATGGTGGGGAGTTTTGAGGGGAAAGGAGGTAGATATGATCAAGAAGTTATCTGGACAAAATGAAAAAAAAATTTCTAAGATTTGTTAGAAAAATGAGATCACAGAAAATACATCTATTCAAAAAGATGAAGAGACAATCTGGCTCAGAGAATTATGACGTACCAAAGTAGAGACCCACAAGAAGCTTCCACAGGAACCAGGACCAAGGTAAGAAAATTTCAGTTGTAACTGGCAAGTTGCTAGGAGCTCACTATGAACAAATCTGAAAGTTGAGAACTCAAGAGGGCCCAGTGCACGGGAGCACAACATCACTTTTGTGAATTTTGTCCCAGTAAAAATAGAGGAAATGACCTTATTTTTCCATGGAGACTAGCCATTATGAGATCAGAACAGTTCTGGTAGCCAAATTGCATGGAAGTTTTCATTTCCTAATTTCTGTGTAAAAGAAGGGAAATAACCAACTCCAACCCCCTCTAGCGATCTTGTCTCAGTTGAGAGGGGCCCTGAGCAGCACA